TCTTTGAAATCACATTGCGATCATAAATCAATTTCGATCTCGAAATTAGTTCTAAGGTGATGAATTACAGTAGAAACATTCAAACTATAAAATGTAAAGCTAAAACAACTGAAATTCATATGTATAACGTATAAATTTCTCAATTGCTAAGTTTAGTTAGTAAGAACAAATTAATGCAGACAGCTACCAGTTCCTACAGATATGTTTTCTTAATTGCCCTAACATCTTCGTTTAAAGTTTCTCCGTAAGATCTTCAGCATGCAACTGCAAATAAAACGGACGTACAGTTTGTTTACCATTTTTGTTCTTGTGGTTTCGATCGACATGATCAAACTACATCGCTTTCAAACTATTAATCTTAGTAACTACTTTGCTAAACATAATTTCAAAAACGGAAACGTATTTTGTACCCAACGATGATATAACACAGTTATCTTAATGCATCGTGTTTAATGATGTTAACAATTGCTGTTTTACATGGAAATATTTATTGATCCCATTTTGATCACTAAAACGCTTGCTTTGAGAAAACGTGCTTTTAATTGTTATGTGAACATTTGAGTATTTAGTTTTAAAACATAAAAAATTTAAAATGGAGTTAATGACTTCTAGTTTCGCTCTATACTTTCGATTACGTGTTTTATCTGAGCACATAATGTTAGCTGTTATTTAACTGAAAATCTTTCAAAAGTTAGTTAGTGGTTGGTGTTTCTATTGATCTTGCTGCCAATGTTGATTTTTTCATTGTAATCCTTTCTATTTGACGTGATGAGTCATAATAAATGCTCGTTGTCTGAAATCCATAGTCTTCTAAATTATGAATGACATCCATCTTTAGTAGTTGAAGAAACTTACGATCAGAATTCTGTTGATATTTGTAACTGGTTATTTTCAAAGCTGCAAAGCTGTACTGAAAATGATCGCCCCACTACTAACGCCTTGCTTGAACAAGGTCCAATAAAGCTAATCGGCACTTTTATAGACATTTTGTGCTATGAGCCAATCATAACGCTCTTTAAAATAAACACAATGTAATGCGAGCGATGATTGGTCTAGATCTGTGTTTTCATTAGCTTGTGCAAAACACATCCGAGCTCAACCAATCAAATCAATCATAACAATCAATCAGTCAAAGAGAATTTGCAAATCGATCATGAATTTATTTTAGAGGAAAAATTAAAATGTTTGTCTGTTTTTCATTAGTGTTATTTGATAAAAGAAATAAAAGATGTTCTTCGTGTTTACAATGGCTTATGCAAGCCTCGGAGACGTTTGTGAGAACTCTCGAGCATGTGTAGCCCTCGACCTTCGGTCTCGGGCTTGCACTGATCTGCAACAAAGTTTTTTGAAAAGTAACGCTTTTATATAGTGAGTATTTTCTTTCAAATTTGCCGTGGGCAGGAGTTTTCTTAATTTCTTCTAGTTTGGAAATTAGTTAAGTTTAAAATACGCTATATTTTGGTTGGCATGTCAATAATTACTCGCTGTCAAATATAGAACGCTTATTACATTGAAGAGAATACTTTGAAAACACATCAAATTTTAAGCATTAAGCCATTAAATGGTGTTGCATTCCGCTTCATGTAATCTTGCACTTTTAATTTTTTGCTCGTTACTAGTCCTTTAAAAGTCGAATTTTGCTCTTACTATTACTAACTTCCGATCTCACAGAAGTTGGCAGAAAACTGGCTTATTTTTAATGAAAATTTAGCATAATTGAATTTATTCCATCTGGCAACGCTGATTTAATTAGAAAATTTAACGAGACTTACCGGAAGTTGAAGTTCGATTGAAACTATATAAGTTACTGTTTATGAAGTAGGAAGTCATGTTAGACAGAGCGCACGATATCACGATCAGTTTTTTAAAAATATGTGAATGTCCACATATATATTGGCAGGCAAGTAATATTTAACATCATTTGAAAGAAGAAAGTTATTAGTTGGGTGAGTGACTTCGTAGTTCCTGAGCAGTCTCTTATAGAAGTTCAATCAGACTTCGACTTCAGGTAAGTCTCTTTTAACTTTCTAACTTATTTCGTCACTCTTCTACGTCACTAGAAAGTCATGTGAGATTTTAAAGCAATGTGGACAATAAGAAATGGTATTTTGGTTGTAAGAGGTGACTTGGACACCACTGCTGAAATATTTTCATGGAAGGAAAAGAAATGGTTTAAGATTTCTTCTAAACTGGAAAGTAATCCTAAGTTAATTGCTTTTTCGTTTATTTATGATGATAATTTATTTGTTGTTGGAAGAAAACGGAGCAAGAAGTCAATAGCGATGTTGAATCTTAAACAGTTACCTTTAACATGGAAGAGTGCTTCCTCATAATATTAAGGGTCATCAAACTGCTGTTTTTAAACAACAAATTCTTCTCATTGGAGGATATATTAAAGATAAAGGAATATCTGATCTGATTAGAGAAATACAGATTACTGGTAAAACATCTTATGTTTTGAAAGAGTTGTGTCGCATGCCTGAACCACAGTATTACCTTGGAGCTGAAGTTGTTGATGATAAAGTACTTATTATTGTAGGAATAGGAACAAAAGAAGTTCTTTCAAGTATCTTGGAGTTTGGTCCAGCACTCTTACATTTAAGAAAATACCTCCATTACCTCATCCATTGATTAGAATAGTAACAGTTCGATGGAGAGATCAAGCTGTTTTTCTTGGAGGTATTGATGGAAAAAGAACATTGAGCGATTTTATCAGGTATGAAAATAAGAAGGGTGAGATTACAGTCTTACCATCCATGTTGGAAAAGAGACTAGGATGTTCTGCAGTTATAATAGAAGATACAATTGTTGTCATGGGAGGAAAGATTGATGATGAAGATGAAGATTATCTTCAATCAGTTCAGTGTTTTAAAATGGGAAGCAGTTCTTCATGGACACATCTTCCGTCAATGACTAAACCACGATATGGAGCCATTGCTGAAGTTTTACCATTCTAATTAAAATATTTTCAAGCTGAAATAAAAAATCAAACATGCAAAGTGTGACTTTTGTTCCTCTAAGCAAGAAATCATTAGAGCAATGACAACAATTGAAGAGTTATAAAGAAAAGTTAAAATTAAAGTTGCTTTACATCAAGACAGAGGTGTAAGTTTTGTGCCATGCTTTTTGTGGTCCTTCGAGCATCGGGTGGCTCTCTCAAAACGAAAATTCTGCCAACATAAAAAATTTTCTTAAAAATCTTCAATAGAACACAATATCAACTCTGGTTTTCAATTAAACTTTCAATTTACTACTAGACTTTCGGTCTTGGGCTTGCCCTGATCTGATTTCGTGTTCTCCCAAAGGTCTGCTCGTTGTACATAAGCCTGTGCAAACACAGTAAACATTTTTTGTTTCTTAAATGAAAACGTCATGTTAGTTTCAGTGTTGCCAACTGCAATGTTGTGTCAATCAAAAGCATTTAGTAAGCTCCCAAAAATAAACCGGGATTTTTCAAAAAATCACAATTTTCCCACAGGAGAATATTACAGCGCTATCCTTTTTAGAAGAAACTTTCATAAAGAGAAGAAACTTTTTATAACTTTCACGAATTCATCTACTCTTGTTTTAAATAATGCATGTTTTAGGTATTTGGAGAATAAAACTGTGCGAAACAAGACGTTCAATTTGTAATGGTTAAATTTTATCATATGCAAAGGGAAACAAAGGATTTTTTTATGAAGGAACTTTAACAAGCAAAAATTCAATCATTTTTCAAACATAACACATTTTAGCTAAATTTTTCCGGATTTTTTGTCGCATTTTTATTTATTAACTTCTCTTCTGTTTTTAGAGACGAGTTACTAAAGCAATAAAAAACAATGTAATTTTGTTTTTGGACTGTTTTGGCGTTAATTGATAATGGTATAATATGAACGTTTAAACATAAAAACAATTTTTGCACATTTGTCGAATCAAGTCAGTTATCATATTAAAATTATTTCTCATTTACGATGTATTTGTTTACTAAACATCAGTTACAAGTGTTTTAAGAAAATGCACGCAAAAGTCCTTGAGAAAAATGAGTCACTGTACTCTATAAAGAGGTTGTTTTTCAGTGCAATCCATTTTCCACACCGCTCTATACCAGTTGATCTACTGCTCTAGCTGCTTTTAGAGGCGAGTGTCGTCAACATAACTAGTTATCAGACAAGCCATTTTACCCAAAAATTTATATCTGGAGCCTTAACTCATGGAATGACTTCTCAAAATGAAAAATTCCAAAATTAATTTTAAATTAAATATCTTAAAAGAATCCCATCTACTTTAAAAAATTCCGAGATTTCGGAATAAAATCCAAAGTTGGCAACACAGTTGCTAACAAAGGTTAAAAGCCCAATGTACGAGATGCGTATCTATTTTTGTTTGGGTGACATGACGTGTTGAATAATTTAAGCGGTAAACAAATATGGGGCGCGAAGTGTTTCTTTTTTTTTTACGGACTTTTTAATGTTTAATTTCATTATTTATTAAATAACCAAACGTAATAGGTTGGTTATTTCAAATAACCATTTTTTGGACTAGAATAAGTTTGGTTATATCAAATAATCAATTGACAAAATTTGGTTATTTAATAAATAACCATTTTATTTCGGCGCCGATTTGGTTATATCGAATAACCAATTGTACGCTAATTGGTTATTTAATTAATAACCATTTTTAATTCGGTAATCAAATTGGTTATATCAAATGACCAATTGTACGCTACTTGGTTATTTATTAAATAACCATTTTTAATTCGGTACCGATTTGGTACCAATTAGCGTACAATTGGTTATTTGATATAACCAAATCGGCGCCGAAATAATAATGGTTATTTATTAAATAACCAAATTTTGTCAATTGATTATTTGATATAACCAAACTTATGCTAGTCCAAAAATTGGTTATTTGAAATAACCAACCTATTACGTTTGGTTATTTAATAATTAATTTATTAAAAATCCCGTAAATAATAAAGAAACACTTCGCGCCCCATAAACAAATATTTTTGCCAACTTTTGGATTAGGTTTGGGTCAGCGTTAAAGGTGTCCCAAACACAGAATTGCATTGGAAAGCGTCTAAAATGGCTGGCCATCCTAATGATAACAAAAGTGGATATGAGGAATCGAGATTTAAGACTGCTGTTGATGAAAATTTTCTTTGTTCCATTTGTCTTAACATCGTTAAAGATGCAAGAATGTGTCGACATAACGAACACATTTTTTGTCGTTATTGCATTGAAGAACATCTACGAGTTAATGCACAAAGGTGTCCACAATGTCAAGATAATTTGACTGCACCTACACTTCTTCCAGCGCGGTTTGTTAATAATATGATTTCAAAGTTTAAGATCAATTGCGACTACGCTAGTCGTGGCTGTCCTGAATTTATAAAAGTTGAAGATTTAGAAAGACATGTTGAAAATTGTGGTTTTGCTCCAGTGTTGTGTTCTAATGAACGTTGTGGCAAGGAGATAAACAAACGAGACAAGATCAAGCACGAAACTAAGTTATGTGAATACAGAAAGATTCCTTCTCACGACTTTGAAGAGATTAGAGAAATGTTTCAACGAAATTTTGATCATGTTGACAAAGTAAAAGTGAAAATGGATGCTGAAGTAGGTCGACAATATGCGGAAATACGTAAAGAAATGATGGAATCAAAGAGAGAAATAAAAGATGTTCAACAAAATCTTTCTTTGCTGACTAAAGAAATAAAAGACATGAAAGTAATGATGTTTCAAATCTTGGAAAAGATGAATAAAAATGAACAACATGTTCAAACATTAACATCACCAATTGAAATAGTTATAAACACATTAAAAAGTGATATTTTGGTTGCTGGAGGTTATTCACCTGGTTCCTCAAAGAGTGTTGAAATATTTTCATGGAAGAAGGTGAAATGGTTTGAGATAGCATCAATGGAAAATGCGCACGTCTATGGGTCATCATTTATTTATAATGATATTTTATTTGTTGTTGGAGGTGTTGGCTGCAAGTCAATGGAGACATTGAATATAAAACAGTTTTCTTTACGTGGAAGACATTTCCCACAGAGTTTCCTCATGGGTGTTGGCATCATCGAACTGTTGTTTGTAAACAACAAATCTTTCACATTGGAGGATATGATTATGATAAACATACAACATTGGATGAAATTAGTGAATTACAGATTACAAGTACAACATCTTATGTTTTGAAAGAGTTGTGTCGTATGCCTGAACCACGTTCGTGCCATGGAGCTGTTGTTGTTGATGATAAAGTTCTTGTTTTTGGAGGACAGGGAAAGGATAGCAATGTTTTGTCCAGTGTTTTGGAATTTAATCCAAGGACTCTTACATTTAAGGAAATGCCTCCATTACCTCATCCATTGACTGAAATGGCAACAGTTCAATGGAGAGATCAAGTTGTTCTTCTTGGAGGTTGTGATGGAAAAAAAGTAATGAACAGTGTTCTCATGTATGACTGTAAAACAGGAAAAATTACAGTCTTACCATCCATGTTAGAAAAGAGAAGATTCTGTTGTGCATTTATAACTGGTGGTACAATTGGTGTCATGGGAGGTCTGAATGATAAAGGTGAAAAACTTAAATCAGTGGAGTGTTTCGATATGGTAAGTAGTTCTTCATGGACATGTCTTCCTTCAATGAATAAACCGCGAAGGGGAGCCATTGCTGAAGTTTTACCATTTGGGCAAAATTATGTCTAAACTGAAATGAAACAATGACATATATTTTATGTGTAACTATTGTTGATATGTAGAAGTTGTAATGTAAGAATTCATGTTTAATATCATTTTTGTTTAAATGCTCAGCTCTCGAATTAATAACCTCAGAGGAAACTGTGTGTAAAATATGTTTTAATAAAATTTAATTGTGATATTACTTTTGGTCAATGATTTTTTCTGGCATAAAGAAACAAACATACTAACAAATAGGTTTCAGCTTAGATATTTTACAATTTATTTAAAACATGCTTATGGCTAAATGTATTTGTTGAATTTTGATTTACACATTATGCATGACCAGTTTATCAAGGTACAGACTAACAATCAAAGTACTAAAACAGTGATTATCATCATTGCTAATCCATGATTTTCAAAGATATCCTTGGAAAGATTACTTCATACAATGCTTCAGATAATAAAAATAAATAATTTTACATTATTGTGCCCCCCAGCTCTCCTGTCTCATATCTCTGTCCTGAATCATAAAATGAAAATGGAAATATCCTATTTGAGTCATTGTGTGCCTGGTGTACCTATTTTAAAGCCATTTTTGAAATAAACTTGCTTTACAATGTACATCATTCGTATCAAAGTTTTTAAGGCAATTCATGTTACTAACAAACCATAAATTTCTTTTTAACTTTCTGCCACTCCACTCATCAAAAAAATTTATTTCTTTATCACAATAACTTTTTATAATACAATATATCACAATTGCTGTACATTTATACATTTCGAAAAACTATCATCGAAATAGGGAAAGTACAATGTTTCCCAAAATTTCTTGGCATCCCAATCTCCAATTGAATTCATAAGTTTCCAAACACCTCGGTTGTTTGTTCTAGTTGCTTGTCATATGATACAAAACTCATAGAAATCTAAATGAATAATTCAATGAAGACAGTACATCAAAAATGTTCTCCTGCCAACCCACAAATCTTCAAGCCAATCCACAAATCTTCAGGCCAACCCACAAATCTTCAGGTCAACCCACAAATCTTCAGGTCAACCCACAACCATGACCATTCAATCCAGGCTCACTACAGTTTAAACATTTAAGAACTCATTCATCACCTTTTCAAGCCCTTTTGACTTTTCTTTCCTTTCATTTTCTCTCTGATCTTCTTTCTCCCAAACCAGTTTGGTTTGCAGATCAGTAAACTGAATATTTGCATTTTCAATATCATCTTGCAACTTTTCCTTGGTCTAAAAACGACAAATTTTTATTTCGGATGCAAAAATAATGTAAAAATAAGAACAATCTCTGAACACGTGGAACCAAATGAGGGACTAAACTGACCAATTTTTTAACAGATTTTTTCTTTTTATCCTTGGCTTTTACCACAGATCTTGAAATTGTCTTTGAGGGAAGTTCTTTCTTCGCAGAGCTATTAACTTTCTTGCCACTTTTACCCATATTTTGCAGGAAAATTCGTCCGGAATGCAAGAGGTCTTCGCAATATCAACTGTATCTGTCCTATCTATTCTTGCCAAGTCAGCACATTTAAACAAACATGTTTCCATTTGTTGTTTGAAATTTTGAAGTGAATACTTTGAAAACGCATCCGGAAATTTTCTATTGTACCTATTTTGTTCAAAAGTGTCAATAGCATGACTTCATTGGACTCAGTAGAAACGGAAGCACCTCGTGATATGAGTATGACGTGTCATGAATAAAGTTCATACGGTAAATAATGGTTACTACAAATGACCAATGCAAATGATAATGCTACAAGTCATAATATATATTTCAACGTATTAGATTATGCTTCAATATGACTTTATTTCAATTATTTGAACCATTTTGAACACTGGTCTCATGAAATTTAGTTATTCAAAATAATTTCTGCTAATGTATTCGTGATAAGCATGTATGCAAGTGAGCATGCGCAATAGCTTCCTTAATTATTCTAAATCTTCCGTCTTACTCAAGATCATCCGAATGCTTGGGTTGAATTGAAAGTTACGTGAAATATCGCGAGGAATTTTTCTTCCCGAGCCGTCTTGAGCTCGAAGGTACGTTCATTGACATCTACTTGGTCTGTTGTCGTGTTCACAGTTTAATTTTGTGCTGTACTTTTGTCGTTATAAACCGTGAAATTTTGAGTACAAGTCATACTCTGACCATGTCGAACTGGATGTGATTTTATTTGGTCTTATAAATGAGCGGATAATGTTTGTGTCACAAATAAAGATGCACTGCCAAGGTGCTTTAAACCTTTTTGCATCTAGCTCCATTGATACTTAGTGGCTTAGTTGACGTGGAGAGTGTAAACTTTAGATTAGTTAGAATTTTCTCGTGTTAAAACTTCGAAGTTTTTTAATGTATTGACTTCGTTGGGCATTAAAACTGTAACCCTCGATTAGTTTTACCAATATCGTGTTTTTAATTTACCTTGAAGCGTTTTTCATCAATGAATGTGTTAATTTGTATATTTTGTACATGTGTACTCTTTGTTTTTACACAACAGCCTATTTTTCTTTGCCTCTTGCTGTTTTCGTAAAGCCAGTTCCGTTTCCGTTTGTGCAAACCTGGAATTGTCTTGATAAATTATTAATAATGCTATTAATTATTCGATATTTTTGAATTGTTTCATTTTCATTTTTCTCGGTTTCTAGAAGATTTTGGTTTCATTTTAACTCATGACCTCAAAATGCCTGCAATATTGAAGCTAAGAGATCTTATTCGAGCCATCAGAGCAGCTCGTACTGCAGCAGACGAACGTGCTGTTATTTCAAAAGAATGTGCCCAAATACGGGATATATTTCGTGAAGAGGACAATGACTTTAGGTCCAGAGCAGTGGCCAAGCTTCTATACATTCATATGCTCGGTTACCCGGCACATTTTGGACAGGTAACAAAGTTATGTCAAGTGAAATTTTGTTTCAAGTGAACAAAAACTTGTTTGAACAGGGATAGATTTTATGGATATTGCTATTGGTCTCTATCTCTCCTGACCTATTAGTAGCAAAGGCAGTAAATTGTTTTACTCTTACAATGCAAATATTTTTGTGTTCATTCACTGCTTCAAAAAAATGAATGAAAGAAATTGATTATGATTTTCTGGCAGATTTGCCTTGTAAGAATAAAAGCATGTGCTAATATAACGTAATTACATTTGCCAATCTACTTCAGGAGAAATGTAATTATTGTAAGTAGATGAAGAAAGGGGGGGTGGGGTGAAAATGTTGTTATGTAGGAGGTAGGGCTAGAAATTATGTGGATACATTTGATTGACACTTTTGGTTCTTCCCCTGTAATTGTAATAGTGGAATGTTCAAAAGTTGAAGGAGTTCTCTTGACAATCGATTTTTTTAAGTGTTGCAATTTTCAAACTCTGTAAAAGTGAAAATAAACGTTACCAATGAACAAGTTTAAAATAACTTTGGGAAATATGATCTCCTAACTCCTGGCCTTGGGAAATCTGAAAAAACCTTTGTATAGGACCAATGTATTTTATAGAATAAATTTTTTGAACCATAGTTGGAATGTTTGAAACTGATCGCATCCCCAAAGTTTACGGACAAGAGAGTCGGTTATCTTGGTGCTATGATGTTGTTGGATGAAAGACAGGATGTTCACTTACTTATAACGAATTCCTTAAAAAAGTATGAATGAACATCACAATGTATGAAATTTATATTTGTCTTGAAGTGTGCTTTCTAAACAAGTTGTTTTATTTTAGTGATTTGAATCACAACAGTCAATTCATCATTGGACTGGCATTAAGCACACTGGGAAGGTAGGAGGAACTGAATCAGTTTTTATACAGTAAATCTGTCGGTCATCCTTTGAGATTTTTCTTGAAATCGCTTAATGCAAGTCAATACATTAAAAACTTTATGAAATAATGTTTTGCTAAAGTATGCTACACATGTGCTCTGATTGGTTGATACCTGTGTTTAGATCAGGCCATCCAAGTAGGAAAATTGAAATTGCTTTCAAAGAAATTTTCAACATGCTTGTAAACAATATGATTTTCTTGCCTAATTAACTTCGAGTGCATTTCTGACAGTGTAAATAAGAACTCGAATTAACATTGGTGATTTTTCTAAATTTTTAAAAGTTTCTAACCTCACTGCAATCTATGTTTTCATGCTTTTGACTGCATTGTTTTCAATGTAAATTTGACAGCTTTGTTTGCTTGGGAGAATTTAGCTAAATTTATATTTCCAGTTGTTTGTATGTATAAAGCATGCAACACTATTCTCCTGTTTTTTTTTTATAAACAATTGCTAAATGTTTTCAAGTGTATATAGATGACCTGATCCAAACACTTGGGAATCTTGCTCAAGTTAAGACAAGCAGTGCAAAACACTCACCTTTTACTCGTGTTTTGCATGCTTTTCTTAACTCTCTCATAATTCCTGCAGAAACCTTAAATAATTGTTCGATATAAAACTTTAAGTTGTTTTTAAGTTTTATCTAGTAATTAGAGACTGTACATGTATAATAATGCTGATGCTGCTTAATAAAGCTCTGAATATATATTGCTTGGCTTTTATGTAATTTTCAATGAAGGTCTATTGGCAGTACTACTATGCATTGTCCAGCTACTTGTGTTTTTTTTTTAGTATTTTAATGCTATATGCTGGTTGTTTGCCTTTGTACAAAGAATTTCACTTCTAATTATATATAGTTCATGAAATAAGTGAAATGTTGGTAAAATGGGCTCCACAGCCTTATCATATTTTGTCCAAACAAATTTTTTCTGCCTCGTTTTTTATTACTATGTATTTCTGGAGCACTTTATTATAGATGATTAACTTTTTCTTTTCCAGTATCTGCTCTCAAGAAATGAGTCGTGATTTGGCAGGTGAAATCGAGCGATTATTAAAAACATCCAACAGTTTCACTCGCAAAAAGGTATCGGTGTGAGAATTTTTTTTTGATGTAGTTTTCCCAAATCCTTGATTAAAAATTGTGTGTATGTATGTGTTATGCCAAGTTCATATTTCATTTCTCTCCAGGCTGCTTTATGTGCTGTTCGAATTATTCGTAAGGTACCAGACTTGATGGAAATTTTTGTCCCAATAACGAGGTCACTTTTGAATGAGAAAAACCACGGTAAGTAACTGCAGGGATAGATTTACTAGGGGATTGGGTGCATTCCTCATAGCCTTGGTTGTAAGGGCTGCAGGTGCTGTGCCAATTTCCATATGATAAGGTCACTTTTGAATGAGAAAACTTATGGTTAGTTTCTGCAAGTATAGAATGATTTGGGTGAATGGCTGCAGGTGGCAATTTCTATATGGAAAGGTCACTTTTTAATGATATGTAAAACTAGCTGGGTCACTTTAAGGAATGATTTGACTAGAGAATGAGCGTTTGGAGTGTACCACTCCTAGCCTTGGGTTGCAGGGGGGCATATGGCTTATTAATTTTTGGAGAAAATTATCCGAAGCAGTTGTGAATTGTGTTAAGGGGAGCACACTTCCCATAAGTATCTTACAATCAGAATATAAGTTTAATAGAGTACGATTTGATGTTTTAGGCATTCTCCTGACTGCCACTTGTCTCATTACCGAGATGTGCGAACTTAATCCAGAGATCGTGGCGCATTTTAGAAAAGTAAGTCACGCCGTATGAATGATCTCTTCACTAATTTTTGAAGATAGTTTTCATCCGATCATTTTTGTTCGCGTCCATTTATCCAGCACGTGTCGACTTTGGTGAAGATTCTCAAGAACCTAATCATGTCTGGTTATTCACCTGAGCACGATGTCTCAGGCATCAGCGATCCCTTTCTTCAGGTAAAAATTATCGAACTAAAATACATGGAACGCTACTTGTAATAGAAAAGTCTAATAAATTCCTGAAGCCAAATTTTTCACCCAGACACGCTAGATTACACTCAGACACGCCTGTGTAGTCAATCAATTTTCAGAATCTCGAAGCACTACACACGCGTGTCTGGGTGTAAGATTTGGCTTCATGTATTTGCTGCAGGTGGCGTGTATTTTACATGTTTGTAAATGTAGATTGTCCAAGTTGGTATAGTCCTGAAAAGGACTTGGTTTTTTTTGTTGACTAGTCAACAACATGTAACGATACTCCCGGGTTCAAACCATTTATTTATTACGAGCATATTTAGTTCAATAGTAAAAATAATATACCTATGACATAGATTGTGTTTCCAGTTCAAACAGCATTTTCATTTCATTTTTCGTTGGAAAACTCCAAAACTATTGGAAACATCGTTGTCCGTTGATCATTGATGGGAGATATTTTTACAGATTTCAGTTTTGTAGATAACTTTATGTGTTAACTAAATTATCGATAACGTAATTTACCGTCTGGGAGGTCTGTACTGAAAAAATATTTTCACTGAGGCGGAGGGAAATATTTTTTATGTGAAAGCGACCTAAACGGTACATAAAGTTTTTATTTTTTATTTTCATAATAACGACATTTTCGTTGTCAAATGGTCAATGTGGTTTGTTGAGACCATTGACCTAAAATACATGAAACACTATCTGAAGCAAATAATTGAAGCCAAATCTTACACCCAGACACGAGAGATTTTACCCAGACACGCGTCTGTAGTGTTTCGAGACTCTCTTGCGGAGTAATAATTGATTGACTTACACGCGTGTCTATGTGTAATCTCACGTGTCTAGGTGTAAAATTTGGCTTCAAAAAATTATCAGGCTTTTCTGTCTATGGTAGCGTTAAATGTATCGTAGTTCAGTGGTGGAGATTGAATTGTTTTCTACAAAGTTCACTTCGTCTAAGATAGTAAAATTCACTCTTGCTATTATAAATAATTCCACCACTGTCAGGATATTGTAAAAAGCCGCCCGCTACTGCAGCCAATCAGATTGCGGTAAATCAACACATTTCACTGGGCATGCGTAAATAAAAATATCAAAATCTTGTTATTTTAGATTCACGTCATCCGTTTGTTGCGTATTCTTGGGAGGAACGACGAAGAAGCAAGCGATACGATGAATGATGTACTTGCACAGGTGAGTTTATAAGCGCTAGTTGACACAACGAAAAACAACTTTTGTATAGCACATGTTATTTACATTTCGGTTTAATTTTATAACGAAACTGCGCTACTTTTTGCAACAATGGTGTTTTATATAAGTTTGGCTTTGCTTGCATTGACTTGTTGACGATTTCATTTCAATTCACCAATTTCTAGGAAAATTTTCCTCTCCTAATTGACTTTAACGTCTGCCTCGCCTACCGTGAATGCTCGCTTCAGCGCCGCTTCCACTTTAGCGCCGCCTCTGAGTAACTTTAGCGCGGCGCTCGTAAGAAATATGGAATCATTGAACTCTAACGTTTGCGACTATCTTGTTCTGCGCCTATTTGACAATATTTTCATCAAGTTGTATAATATTACATAATGATAATAGATTTTTTCTACTCGTTATTTTCTTGAGGCAATGAAATATTTAATTAGCGCTGCTCCCGCATAAATGCGGCGTTCAAACCGGGGGAATTTAAAAAGCGCCGCGGCGTTAAAACGAGCATTTACGATAGTTTGGTCAATTAGAGATGTTTACCTTCTTCGTGCTAAAGTTAAAATGATATTTGAACATGAGTTTCGTGTTGTTTTCCGTCATTTTGAATCCTATAAATTTCTCCAGGTGGCAACGAATACGGAGACAAGTAAAAACGTCGGCAATGCTATTTTATATGAAACTGTTTTGGCCATTATGGATATCAAATCAGAAAGCGGTTTACGAGTAAGAGAAGATTGAGTGATATTTATTAATAGTATTCCAGTAGAACAGCAGTCAGTGCGTCTTATTTTGTACAGGTCTTGGCTGTGAATATCTTAGGAAGATTTTTGTTGAATAATGACAAGAACATTCGCTATGTCGCCCTCAATACTTTGTTAAAAACTGTCAGCGCCGACTATCAAGCTGTCCAGCGTCATCGCAGTACCATTTTGGACTGTCTAAAGGATCCTGATATTTCTATACAAAGGTAGAATCTTTAGTTTTGATGTAATTTAGTGCAAGATTATTTTAATTTTATTATAGTTTGAATTAGAATAACAACTCAGGTAATAAAACTGTTGTGTTTAAACTCCCGTAATAAAACGACGATAGTAGAAGTCCGGTGTTGAAACTCCGGTAAAAATAATTGGATATAAAACTCCGCTGTTCTACTCGGTATTAAAACTTGGCGCTGCAACTGCAGTATTTGAAATCAAAGTTGAACTTCAATTACCTGAAGAAGTCAAGAATTTTAGTTACATACGTAGTGAATTCAAACTGTGATTACAGACGAAATATTTTTGTCTCTTTAGGCGCGCAGTGGAACTTTCGTTTGCTTTGATAAACTCCAATAATATACGTGGCATGGTGAAGGAACTTTTGGCTTTTCTCAATAACGTTGATCCTGATTTGAAATCATACATAACATCGAATATCTTCCAAGTTGCTGAGAAGTATGTTGAATTACATTACGATTTCTTCAAACCATCTTCGTGCTTATCGCCGATTGGGATTTTAGAATTCATCTTTATAATTATCGCTGATTAGGATTTCGAGGATCCATCTTTGTGCTTATCGCTGATTAGGATTTCGAGAATCCATCTTTGTGCTTATCGCTGATTAAGATTCATAGAATCCATCTTAGTGTTTATCGCTGATTAGGATTTCTAGAATCCATCTTTGTGCTTATCGCGAAGAAAGATAAATTTTCCATTTTTGATCATTTGTAGACATGCTCCCAATAAAAGGTGGCACATTGATATAATGATGAAAGTTTTAACTACAGTGAGTATATTTAGAACATTTTATTCCAGTCATTGGACGGTGTTATGAAGCACATTGATAAACCAATCCGTTGCTTAGGTAGATAGTGAAATTAAGCTATAGAGATGTTAAATTGGAATTAACTAATCACTTTAGTCATGGCTTGCTTATAAGCCAATCAGATGCATCTGTAGTTTGTGAAGCTTAGTGGTGGAGACATTAAAAAGGAATTAAGCAATCTCGTCAGTTCTGTATTTAGTTGAAATTTGTGATAATGAGATGGAGGAGGCATTAGCCAATCGCATACCTTCATGCTTGTTTATAAGCCAATCAAATGCTTCGGTAGATAAAGTTATATAACTACGTGCATAATGTTATTCACAGGCTGGAAACTATGTTCGTGATGATACAGTTCCAAGTCTTATTCATATGGTTGCGTCAAGTGATACTTTACAAGCTTATGCTGTTCAGCAACTATTCACTGCCATTCAAGATGATATTAGTCAGGTATGATGCCCTCATCCCTTGCCATTCAACAAGATACTAGTCAAGTATGCTGCCCTGACCCCCCTGCCATTCAACCTGATATTAGCCAGATATGCTGCCCCGATCCCCCCTGCCATTCTACATGATATCAATCATGTGTGCTTCCCTGATCCCCCCTGACATTGAACATGATATTAGCCTTACTCTCAAGCTACTTGCGAGGAATCAGTTTAATTTGTCACACGACTTACTCTCGGCCAATGAAACTGCAGAAAAAATATACTTTGACCATTGGTATATAACAATTTTCTTTCTTTCCGTCTTCAGCAATCATTAGTACAAGTTGCTGCATGGTGTACCGGAGAGTTTGGTGAACTTTTGTTTAAAGATATTGACGAAGATGAATCTCTGAATGTAAGTGAACAAATGCTTTATCTTATCTGAGGCAGCTTGCACAAAGCATGGATAGCGTTATCCATTCGATAGTAATTTTTAAAACTTGTGAAAAAAGTGCTTTTATTTTCTTCACGACAATGAAACTTTGTAATACTAGAACCATTATTGTAGATTTCATAGATTGTCGTAGATTTTTCCAGTTAAAGAGATTTTTGTTGCGTTTCAAAAGTATTGCTATCCTGTGAATAGTGCTGTATTCGGCCTACGGGAAACTGGTCCCTGAAGATGAAAAAAAAATATCGATATTTTATTAAAAAAAGAATATACAATGAGCATTAATAAAATCAGATTTGTTATGCGGTTATAATTGAATATGGAAAAAAAGAGGAACTTTTTACATTTTCAGTGATATGTTATTTCGTAACAATCAGAAGTCATTGACCACTCTTAAAGTATAATTGCAAGTCGAAATCGCATTTTTCCTGCAATTTAACTAGTCTCAATCCTTCCACGCACGGCTCAAAGAAAGTTCTATTACGACGATAGGCGTATCTCGCCAATGCGAGATTTGACCCGCGGACACGCGTCTTTCATGCAAGTCCATGCATGTTTATTTTAAGATACGTAGCCTTCAAGATATATATCTAGTTCAATGGATACAGCACAGTGAGAAATCCGCTGTTTCATTGGTTTTGTTTGAAATGCCAGTGAAACCGCCTTAACTACACCCAAGGGAACATGTAATTTCGACTTGCAATTTTTATAAGGAGAACACTCGATCATTTCTGATCGTTACGAACTAATAAAAACATCATTGGCAAGTTAAAAGCTCCTCTTTTTCTTGCTATTTAAAAATACAAGCCTCGAACACAATGTCAATGGCGCGATTGCCTAAAAAAGTTTAATCTGATTTCGGATTTTCGATACACACTGTACATCCGTGCATGCCCCGATGAATCAATATTCAACCATACATATCCCTGGAGATCATAAATACATCCACACATACACTCACGAGCTTTATATTCATCAACAATGTTATCGAACACCGATGCGAAAAGCTTCTGTTGTTGCTAGGTGACCGAGAACGATGTCGTGGATATTCTTGAAGGAATGTTGGCGAGCAATCAATTGAATCAAGTCTCAAAAGAATATTCCTTGAATGCGCTAATGAAACTGAGTACAAGATTTACATCAAATCTTGAGTAAGAAAATGTTATTCTCTTTTTCCCTTTTATCAAAATGCTGTTGTTGCCATTGACATTTTATTTATACTTCATGTAGTGCGATAAAAAATTGATTCACCGTTTCTCTGATAACATGGACGTCGAGCTTCAACAAAGATCTGTTGAATATGTGAAACTGTTTAAAACTACGATGAAATGAGGTTAGATTTCACTTGAAATATTTAAGAAGTAAAAGATGTTTACTGTGTTTGCACAGGCTTATGCACACCGAGGAAACGTTTGGGAGAACTTGAGAAATGATCAGTGCAAGCCTGAGACCGAAGTTCTTTGGAAATTCTTTGGAAACACAAAAAAAACATCTTTTTTTTATTTATTAAAGAACAATAACGCCAAACAGACAAATTTATAACAAATGTTTTAATTTTTCTCTCACATGTTGTCGTGATTGATTTGCCAATTCTCTTTAATTTATTTAATGGTTCATCTCAGATCGGAAAACGCAAGCTAGTGCAAACACTGCTAGTGACCAATTTTTTCAAATATTTAGTAATGTTTGATGACGGTACGTACGTCAAACTGTGTTAAGGCCAGGATTAAATGAGGTTGAAATTTTTCAATGATTATTGAAGAATTTTTGATGTCAATTTTTGATGACTGTATACTTCGCATTGTCGAATATTTGTGTTCTAAGTTTGTATTTTTCTTCAGGATCGGTCTGTTAGAGAGAATACCCGTATTGGATACGAAGAATGGAACCGTCGAGAATGGCGAAGTTAAAGAAAGTGTCCACGAGGAACAACGTAAGTTAGAAAATCATGACTCTCGCCGTGTGAAGAATTTGTATCTCTCCTTTTTTTAAAGATCTCGTTGTCTTGTTTTTTGTTCTTTATGTTATCTTCTGCGGGATGTGATATCTGGGGCACTGACGGTATCCGACAGAGCTCAAAATAACTGCCGGTCAGCGCACAACGACCGGCCATAAATTACTTTTGTCCTGCCAATTTTTTTGTACATTGCCTGTCACATTTCGTGATAATTAATTACAACTATTAATCAGTTTTCCTTTCAATGTTCTCATTGAAAAGTTAAACATCAATTTTTGCTCAGAAAAACCGTATTTGCTTTTGTATGTAATTACAGTAAGTGCTGATTTACATACTATTCACGTTACGTCGTTGTGTTCATCCATTGATCGTTCTTTGTGCGGTCGCCAATCTTGGCTTACGAAGATTTCTCCATAAGCGCTATAGTGAGACAATGTGTGATGTCATAAACACGTAGAATCTGAAACACGAGAATCAATAATCTCAATAAATGTATTTTTCACGTCATTGGTGCAAATATATGTATATATTTGCACCAATGACTTCGACCTAGCGATAATAAAGTGGAGCGATCCTATTCGCCGGGTACATTTAGGATGTTATTTTGAGCCATGGTTATCAAGAGCCTTATTGAATCCTGCCATGTCATTCGGGGTCCACCAGCGTTGCGCCACAGTATAGAAACAAACAGTTCTCTCACTCCACTGTGCAACTTGGGTGTTGTATGTTTAATTAGATGACTGGCCACGGATAGCAATTTCAGTGCTCCTATTTGTCAAAAAATGCAATTTACTGGCTGCCACTATGCTAATCACATGCGTAATAAGAATACTACAAAAAATTTCTGTAGAGTGGGACTACTGTTTGTTTCTATACTGTGGCTGCGCGTTTCGTTGATGTTTTGTCTGACGATATTTTGTAATTTTGTGATGTAGCTGTTCCTGAACAGAAGCAAAATAAACCAACAGAGGTGAGGGTCAGGTTTTAAATACAATGGTGCTCATTATGTTTTGAATATTTTTTGAAGTTTGTATTATCGAAAATTTAATTTCCTTTAATTTACTATTAAATTTCAAAACTAAGATAAAATTGCAAACACAAATATTGCTGCGAATAGCGTATTTTCATGGTGAATGACAATCGAGTTATTCTAAAAAGAACTTTTAAAAACTAAAAATGAAATGACACGATGCGTTTCTGAAGACTTTTCATCAAATGCTGTCAGACGCGTCTGCTTTTGTTAATAGCAAATTTACTTATATTTATAATGAAGACAAGGAGTCATCTCATCCTGAGTTAAGTTAACAGCGATAAGTTAACGACGCAATACCTCTGACAGTTGAACTAGGGATTAGTTAACTTAATGTAGATATACCACGACACGTAACTGAAATAATGAGGGACATTAGTTCACAGTTCTAAAATTGGCTATCAATTGTAAAATGGTAACCATTTTACTGTCGTTCGCCATGTAAAATATGCTGCTCATAGCACTGTGATATTGAAACTAACGTTAAAAACCCCGTATGTTGTCTCAAACTCCATGCTTGTATCACTTTTAAACATGACTCATTTTTATCTTTTCTTGTGTTCAGTCCACCACGCTTCTCGATCTTCTTGGCGACACGTCATCTGCGCCTGCCCCATCAACCCAACCGCAGGCATCCCAACCGCCAGCATCCCTACCTCAACCCACTCCCCCCTCCACCAATGGTAGCAATCTTCTAGACCTGCTAGGTGATCTTGACATGAATGTCACAAATTCAGGTTAGTAACAAGTCCAAGAACCAATTATTTGCTTCAATGATAGCGCTGTTTACTGAACTCTGTATAAACTGGAACGCTAACTTAAATAGAAGTGCAAAAGGTCGTTTCGAAGTCCTTTATACCCGAGTTTTCGTTTTATTACCAGAATTCCTGGACTAAAACATGTCATTTCAATTATGTAAATCGTTGTTGATTTTGTAAAATAAGATTATGGAACTTCTAAAAACTCAGGGAAACCAATGATTTAGAACCCAGTCCTCTAGATGTCTAACAACCGTGTCAAGGTGAGGCAAGGGCGCCATCTTGAAAGGTGGCAAAACGTAAAACTCAAAATGAAAAAAAAAGTTCAAAGAATGTTTAAAACAATTCTTTCCACCATTTTAAAATAAAAATAGACTATTTACTTTAATATTAATATAGACTTTGTCGATTATGGTGTTTGCTATCTTTAGAACTATTTTCACTATTTACTTTGCAATTGTATATGAACTCCGAGAAAGCAGATGTTAGTCGTAAATATCATCAGTTTTGCCATCTTTCAAGATTGTGATTTGCCTCACTTGTTACTATAAAATCTTGACGGAGTCAGGTATCTAGTAGACTGGGTTCTAGGTCATTGAGAAACACTAACTTCAATTACCGCTTCAAAGATACGTAGTTGTGTGTTTAACGTTCTAGTTAATATGAGATTTCACTGGCAAAGTCTCTTTGCCAATGTCATTATTTATTGTCCTCTCTTATCCTTTAGCACCACCACCTTCGATGAACTCAGTCCCTCCAGCTGCACCTAATACCATGGTTAATTTGTTGGATGGTCTTTCCTCAAATCCATCCCCCGTGGTACAGCAAGATTACACAAATAATCTCATACCTTCGTTCAACCAACCGTTGGCCGCGCAGCAAGGTAGGAGAATGGTCTTGAGTTCCTTACCTGCTGTCGAGTGATGTGATTGTTTGTCTTCGAAAACTGTCCATGATCACTTTAATATGACACGGTTAACTGAGATGCAATCATATGCAGATTTTCAAAGTTTCAGAGGGGTGGTTCTAAAAATTTTAGGAAGGCTGCCTGGTAAGAAAGTGACGTAAGACAAAGTGTAAAGATTTTAGGGCCGATCGGGTAGTGCAGCCACCAAATGTATTGTAGAGAGTTTTAACATTGCCCTGAAAATGTAACTTCAACTGTATTGATTTGTTAGAAGGGTTCTTAGAGGGGTGAACGTCTTGTAAGGAAGCGAAACCAGATATTTTGAAGAAACTGCCGCCCCTAGAAATTCTGTCCATGTATGCAATTTGTCGTGATATTACTTTAAGTCATTGTAAGTTGTTTTAAGCGTGAAAGTTACCATCTTTCAAAGCGGTATAAATAATTTCTGTTGTAATTTTAAAGACGTTAAGTGGTTTTCTTTTTCTATGTTTAGAAAATTGATAAACTCCAATTGTTGTGATATCGATAATATTCGAGTAAATTCTTTAAATGATAAATACACAGCTCAAAATAACGGCCCGCCATAAAGCTTGTCACCGACTACATTTTTAAGTCTTTCCCAAAATTATAATCTTGCGATTTATAGTATCATCTTGTGAGCTTATAAAATGTCAAATGCGAGAATTTGTTGTCTCAAACAATTATCTTTTCACGTTATTTGATGCAATTTATGTAGGAATTGAACGGTTTGAACACCAGAGTATCGTTACATTCATGTTTGTAGATGTGGATGGTCCTAGTTGGTACAGTCTTGAGAATGACTGTTGATGTTGGTGTCGACAAACGTTACGACTACATTTGCAATATTAATCTTCAGAGTCAAGCGAGGACTATCAGTACAAATTATTTTTCACTTGCCTGTGTAGACGAGCACCGCAAATGTTGTCGAAACGTCATTCAACATCAACACCAACAGTCCTTCTCAGTACTCCACTAACCTGGATGATTTACATCCACAAACATGGTATTTATGTTTAGTAGTGACAGGTCAAAAACCGACTTTGTTTTGCCGTTATATTGAGCTTTTTTATTGATTGTTTTAACTTACAAAAATGACTTAACGCTTCCCCGGAACCACAGAGTACGCGGGCTCATGTAGTCAACGACTATCATTCTCTCTTATTCAATTTGCCTTTTAAATTGTACAGGTATTCCGTCGTTAATAGCGTACGATAAAATGGAATCAAAATCGACTTCAGCTTTCAAAAAGTTGAAAATAATCCTGCCAATATTGTGGATATTTCATTAAACGTAACCAACGCTATGGCCGTTCCTGTCACTGATTTTGTATTTCAAGCAGCAGTACCTAAGGTATGATACAAGTATGTATAGGTTCCTTTATGGATCTGAAGGGCATTCCACCTCCGACAAAAGAATAAAATCTACCCTTAGAAATCGTCTCGTTGCTCCTAGAGCCCTTACGCCTGTTTGTGTATGTTTCATTTCAATATTTCGTTTCAAGTTACAAATAATACGACCTTTGATTGTTTTTTAGACCCTACAGCTTCAACTTCAGAGTCCATCTGGGAATACAATTCCACCAAATAATTCTGGACAAATAACGCAACTGGTTAAAGTTGCCAATCCACAGAAGGTAATGAAGTAAATTGTTTGAACCCGAGAGTATCGTTGCTTGTTTGTGGATGTAGATCGTCCAGGTTAATAAAGTCCTGAGAAGGACTGTTTTTGTTGTTGTTGACTGACGTTTCGACAACCTTAGCGGTAGTCATCTTCAGAGTCAAATGAGGAGTAAACGTCAGTCAACGCCAACAATCCTTCTCAGGACTTCGCTATCCTGCACTATCCCCACATGTACAGAAGGTAACATACATACTCCCATACTCCCAGAACTATTTAACTCGATACACTTTTCACTTCAAGATTTAGCTTTGCAATCCAAGAATTCGGCCGAAAGAATTTATTTTGTATTTTTCAACACTTAGGCGCCGTTACGTATGCGAATCAAAGTGAATTACGTCATCAACGGCTCGCCAGTCTCCGATCAAGCCGAGATTAACAATTTTCCTCAACTCTGACAAATCATGGATCATATAATCTGCTTCATTATTTCATAAAACGATTTTGGAGTATTTGACAAATATTTCTACGCGAAACATGCGTGTCAGTATTCAGTCGTGTTTAATGCAAATGCTTTTTGAAATTCGTGTGGCATTTGTATACAAAACTACGTGAATTATTATCAAGAGGTTTTTCATTCACTTACAACCGCCAATATATTGATTTTGATTTTATCGGAGAAATGTGTTTTTGATTATTTTTGCTAGAAATATTTGTACACGCGAAACTGTGGAATTCTTTAATTCGTTGTAGATTTTTACTACCATAAGAGAGAGAAACAGATAAAGTTTAATTTTGAGATTTGTGTTTTCCTCCATTTTGATGTACACTTTCTTATGATGTTATGGCCCGCTTTCTGTGAAGATGATCGAAATTAAAGTGGAAGTTTAATCATTCTTTATGCTCGTCTTTGCTTGAAAATCCGGTCTTGGATTCCACTTTTCGACAAAAGAGTACGATTTGTTGATATGTTGTTATTTTTGCTATTTATGAAATCTGCAACATTTTGTTTACGTCAATCCAATCAAATGACAATCTTTCTTTTCTCAAATCTTGTCCATTTGTCTTTCTGGCATTTATTAGTTGCTCTCGATTTTATTGCATACTATGGTCTCCCTGTTCTTAGCGTCCATCTTTAACTCGTACCTTTCCAGGATTTCATGTGATGTCAGTTCTTATTGCCATTGCTTTTAGCTATAATCGCCAAGTCATCTTTAAAAAACAAGCTCCTTCAGGCTCTTTGTTTTCTGATGTTTCGTACATCGTACATCAACAAAACTAGCAATGAATAAAATGTACATTCATTTGTTAGAAATCATTATTCTTATAAAGACTGAAAATATGGTCCTGTGGGATTCATCTTTGTTCGTTTTACGTGTACATAATAAAGTATGAAAGCACCATTAAAGTACTGTTGAAAAACCGAGATTAAATGTGAATAAAATAAACAAAAGCAAATTCGCTGGCAGAGCAACGAAGAAATAAAATTCGACTAGAGGAACAACTTGGATACAAACAGGTCAACAGAAAGACAACGTTCAGGGCGAAATCATGTCAACGTCGACAATGATGAAGAAAAAGTTGGTGACTGGAAAAGATTCCAAAAACAACAATCATGAACCAATAAATTAGAGTTACAACAATGTCCACCATAAAGACCATACGTCAGTGGATATACCGCACCATATCTAAACATTTCATACGATTGCAGTTTTTATTGAAGCTTTCACATCGAGTGCTAGCACAACGCAAAAGATCAAATATTATAACACGCCATCACGCCGAAAAAAACAATAATATCGCATATTAGCTACGTCCTCAACACAGTGTTTATAGATGTTTGCGCCTGCGCCGTCATATGACTCGTGAAATCTGCACTAAACTACTAAAGAAGACACCCCAGAAGACTGAATGAACACATAATGCATCTTCTTTTAGATGAATGACCTCAAACTCTTTCTTGCCCGTTCTTGAAGCCTTTCAAATAATCATCTCTGACGTCAAGCCCTTAAACTTATTTTTTGATATTTATCAATTAAAAGTACCAATGGATTAAATTGACTAATATTGTCAATGGACGATGAAAGACGTCTTTATTGAAACGTGCTGCATACGATCGACTAGTACAGACATACTGGTTATATCTCTATCTTTTTCGATAGAACTTATTCCTGAATTAGTAACGATAGATTTATTCATAATTTATGATCAAAGTAACAATATATTTCATATGTTAAGCAACAAAGTCCATTCAGACAAGCTTGACGCTGAAAAATATCAAGACAGAAATAAAAAGAGTTGTGATGATGGAGATGAATATAATGATTTGATGCCTCTTCCTTTCGACTACGCTGCAAGAAATTGAAGAGTTCAGAATGAATTTGAGGTGTAGCAAATGCCTGTAAAAATGTAGGTTTGCTTTATTTGTCAAGGTAACTTTTCATTACATACATCGTTTAAATAGACGGTAATTTGGTCATGTGAAGGAAATTTTGGACGTGATTTAGAAATGCTTATTTACGCTTAGATACGTAATAAATTGTACGGCTGTCTCTATGTCATCAAAAGAATTCCTTTGAATCCGAAAAGTGTTCTGTTAAATCACTAAATTACTCGAGAAGAGAAGTTCCTTTCTAGATTAAATCATGAAAATATTTCAAAGGTAAAAGAAATTTGCTGTCAAAATAAGTCAAAATTTTATAACATAAGGGTTGAAAGCTTGGTTCAATTTACACGATACAAATTGCTTGGCTTATTAAAGGTTATATTTGTAAAAGTATTATAAAAATTAGATAATCCCTTTTCAATGAAGCCCATGAATGTTTTGCTCATAATGAGGATGTTATAATGTATAAGGAGGCTCTCGTTCATCACGAAAGAGTTATGAAAAAGTTACATTTTAAAAGGTAGCATTTAGAAAACGTATAAACATATTTAGAGTTGGTTAAAATTATAAGTCAAAATGCAGAAGTTTTTGAACCTTTGCAGTATCCTTGGCTGTTCTAGTTCATTTTTCTTCAACAAAAAGATGAAATTCAAAAGCAAAAACCCCCGTTTTCGGTCCATGCTTCCCGACACCTTGTTAAGCGTAAGGCACTATAACGCCGCATGTTAACGTTTCGGTAGGAGATTTCGGCCCCTCCACGCTATCCTACTTGGGAGATGCCAATAGCAAGCTTCCGTCCATCAGACCCTGAGATCACCTGCGATAGGCTTTGCTCGGGTACGCAGGGAGAGTGCGGTCGCCACCGAAGTGTGGGCCCCTAAGCCACTACATACTATATCGCACCCAGCTTCCACTGCTAATTGACATCTACTATATGAAGTTTTAGATTTATATATATATATATACAAAAATTAAGCTAATTGCCATAAATATAATGCAAGCACGTATAGTTAGTTGTTGCCATGACTTTGAACAATTGGTCGAGTGGACTATGCGTGCTCGAGCGCATGCGCAGATGATTTCTCCATTAAATTGTTACTAAACATGCTATTTACTTCAAAATAGGTGCTAGTACATTTAATTGGTCGTTGCCATGACCATGAACTTGGGCAGCTAATCAATTCGACTGCACATGCGCAGATGATTTATCTCAAAATTTGTGATTGAGCCAGCTAATTATTCCATATTGGATACTAGATCATACAGTTGGTCGTTCTCAATTAGTTTGTGACTGAGCAAGCTCTGAAATTAGTGCTTGTATATGCTCTTAGCAAATTTTTAATAATATAATTTTGACATGCTCTTTGTCCTCTTAAGCTTGTTTTGACAAATGCCTATTAAATTCATCAACTCTTTGTTACGCCACTCGTAATATTCGTGACAATGTTAGATATGTTTTTTTTTTATGGATTATAATTCGTCGATTAAGGTAGAGCAAATACTTGAAAATGAAACTTCCAGCAATGAAACAAAATGAAGCCTGACGGAGGAGAAACAGAGACGCCAGGTTGAAGATAGCTTAATGAAACTGAACGTCGTAGAAGCACCTAGCCTACGCTCGAGAATTTTGGATGAGGACTCGTGGACCAATGAAAATGCGAATGATTCCAAGTGTGTTGGCAACGATAAAAGCTCTACCGGGGATGAGGTTCCAATACAGGTACAATCCATTAATAACACCGAAAGTTCTAAAGATGTGTTCAAAAGAAATATCGATGAATCACATATACAGTTTGGAAGCTAGTTGGCTCATGCGATATATAGTAGTGGGAACTCTTCATGATGTTGATGAAGATATGTAAAAATAGCTACCAGCGTTTTTTCGTTTAGAACGAGGCATCTGATTTTGAAAGTGAAGAAGAAGCAATCACCTCAAGAGATGATTTGCAAGAAGTATCAAAGTGTACTCTGCAAAGTTTGTATATACAGATGGAGTATTGTGAAAAGAGTAGTCGAAGGGTTTTATTGACGAAGATATTATTATAACGACCAACAGAAAATGTGGCGACTTCTCCGCGAGATTTTAAAAAGATTAGTTCACGTTCCATTCACAGGTAGGAACTTTCGATTATTTTATGTACTAACTGTATGTATTTTAACTAAACATGAAAATTGTGAACAATTTTCGTTTAGCTCAATAAATGCATATGAAGAGTTATTATTTGCTATTTTTCTCATATTTTTCTCTAATAAATGGTTCAAATAAACGCGTTTCGACACATTTTGGGTTTCTATTGTTACATTTTTAGGTGTTTACTTTGAGAAGTCCATTAACGTCAAGGAAAAGAGTTTGGTCTTTGGATGAATTGAAAAGCTTGTTTTTGACTGCATTTTGAAAGATGACCTCTCTCTCAGTTTCTTCCTTGTCTACATTCGTGTACTTTGTCAAATGCAAATATAAATGAGGATATGATATAACTTTGTTTTTATAACTTTTCCAAGTTATAACTAGTTGCAAAATATCCGCGATAAACTCTAAAATACAATATGAAATAATATAAAGCAACTAAAAACAATACAATTATAAATATCATTATTTCTTGTCAATGTTAATAAAAACGTGTGCTATCGGTTGGTTTGTTCCGATGACATTGGATTGCTGTTTAGACCTCTGATCTGAAGTATTCACAATCATCCAATTCAACAGCAGTTAAAGCTTTATCTAATTTCAAACATATGAAGGTCTTCATAAGTGGACCTTTGAATATCACATCATCATTACCACCACCATCATCATCACCACCATCATCATCACCATTACCATCACCACCATCATCCACCACCATCACCACCACCACCATCATTACCCACCACCACCATCATCACCACCACCATCATCCACCACCATCATCATCATCAATCCATCATTCCCACCACCATCACCACCAACTCCACCATCATTGTCATCAATATTACCACCACCACTACAACCACCCTCACCATCATTGACATCATCATCATCATCTATTTCACATACACCATATGCAAATGGCTGCCAATTTTCTTGTTCATCCAAAAATAAACAAGTGCACCAGGTAACCATTTTCTAGAAATTACTTTTGACCTTCACCGCATTTTGAAAAATGATTTCTCTCTCGATTTCATATGAAGACTTTGTCAAGTGAGAACAACATCTTCACTAATAAATCCAATGTTATGATAATCTGTTCGAACTTTCACAGATTCATCCACATTTTCAATTCTTTCGTAAAGTTCTTCATTTGCTAGATCTAAATTCAGGGCAAAACATTCCAAGTCATCTCCTCCAAGATACTGAAAACATGGTTTATCACCGATGAAAATTCTCACAATATCAACTTCTCCGTCAAAATGACCAAACACGCCATTAGGAAAAGAGGAGTTCAACTTCTTTCTTAGTTTTGGTAGTTTATAAAAATAAGCTGTACCTTCATTAAGATGTTTGACGGCATCATGAATTGCCAAAAGTCTTTTTCTGGTTAAAAGCCAATGCACTGTCCACCATGTCACTTGCGCCACAAGCAACATGTGCGCATGTCAAGGCGTAATACCTATTGTTTTTGCTACAGAACATTGTAATTGTACCATGAGAGCCACTGGTTGATTGGTTTGCCATAACAACACCATTCAGTCTTTGCATTGGATTTGGTATCATTCTTTCGAACAGCGCGAAAGTTTGATAAATATCGAATCTGTGGGTTTTTGTAAGGTTTACGCCTGATTTCAATGAATTTTGATGCTTCCCAATCAAATATCTTGTCAATTTCTTTCTTTAAATCTTCATCGGACCTTCCTTCATCACCATCAACTGTGATATACAAATGAGGATATGGTATAACTTTGTTTTTTTAACTGTTCCATAGTTGCCACATATCCACGATATGCTTAATAATAGAATCAGAAATAGGATAACGAATCTAAATTAAAAACAATGTGCCTATAACTATCTATACAGCTTTATTATCCATTCATATACCCATTTTTCCTATCTTACAGCTAACAAATACGATGAAAAAAAGAATTTTGTTTTGCCTATTCCTAACATACCTTTTAAATTTTTTATGTACGTCTTTTTTAATGTTGTAATGTTCATCAAGAAATTGGCTTTTCAAATTAAATTCTATAAAGAAATGTTGAATAATTGTTAAGCAGTAAGGATTGTTTTATAATTAGGGAAGGCATTTATACTTTGACAGGTATCATGTCGTTTGATGTCAGGTGATGGAATTATCAAAGGTCTCCAATTGTTCATGACAGCTTTTTTTGACTTCATAGCATGAAACGATGGCATTTTAAAATCATTTATCAACACGTCCTCGTTCAAATCTTCCAACAATCCACCATCGATTTGCTTTTGCTCAAACATATCTTCGTATTGCTCGAGGTTTATCTCCCTGAGCAGTGAACAGACGTCCTGAATTGAGAAGTCTTTCATACTTTGACAGGTATGATGTTGTTTGATGTCAGGTGATTTTCCTTCGTGGTTAAAGCATCGGTACATCGATTGTCCCTATCCTGAGTGGTCCACATAGCCTCGTGAGGCCTCGAGGAACTATCGGAGCCCTGTCGATAATTTTCTAACTTTTCAAGGACATCCTTCGGGCATAGGTAGCCACGTTCATCAGACGGAAATTCTTCCAAAAAATTTCCATACGCAGATTGTCCATCACGTGATTGAAACGAATTGCTGTTTTCTTCCACAAATCGATCCTTTTGCTGTCATTTTCGCTTTTATTTCCCTTGCCTGTTGGTCTATTCAACAGAAAAGCTCCAAAGGTATTGCCTTAACAGCACAAGGTTGGCTGACATCGAATATCTGTTAAAATAATGAAATAAAAACACATTCCTTTAAAATTTGCTTTTACATTCGGCACTGTGCAGCGCAATATTGCCATTTCAATGAGAAAAAATTCATTTAGTTTTTATAGAAGGAACAATATGCAAAGGTGATGTATATTTTTACAATAATGACTATTGTCAACTATCGTTCCCAGGCTCTTTGCTGTTTCTCGTAATGGTAAAGAACGAAAAGGCATAAAAGTGAAACGTGATGTAAGACAGAACTAAAATAGCCTTACAAAAGTTCGCGACAAGAAAATGATCGACCATTTTACATCAACAAAACATTTAAGTGTAAAACAAAACAAAATATACA